GGAAACAATGGTCAGTATCATCTAATGTTAAACAGTCTTACCATATGACCTACTCCTGGGTATTTAACCCAACATAAATGAGAATATATGTATGAACACAGACTTGCACATGAATGTTCATAGAAGCTTTATTTGTAAGGGACCCAAAGTGGAAACAACCCAAATGTTCACCAACAAGGTGAACATGCTGTGGTATGTCAATGTGATGGAGTATGTTGGTAATAACAAGGAATGAAGCATTGCTACATGGTACAACACAGAAAAACTCAAAGACATTATGTTAGCTGAAAGAAGCCAGTCACAAAAGACCACATATTATATGACTGCATTTGTATGAAATGTCCAGAAAAAGCAAATCTATACAAGCAGAAAGTAAATTAGTGGTTGCCTAGGGCCAGGGAGAGGGAAACTGACTGCAAAGGAACATGACAGAATTGTGAAAGTGATGGAAATGTTTATGTCAAATGTGGTGGTAACTACACAGATGTATATATTTGTCAAAAGTGTACATTTGAAGTTGAAGAATTTTACTGTGTGTAAATTATACTCCTGATACACTCCCAGATTCTTTGTAAAGCCAGGCAGAGGCCAGCTTTCTGCAGAATCATGTTACTGCTGTTCTGTTTATATCCCTAGTTATACTTTGGGCACTTCAAGTGTCAATGGCAGTAGCATCCTGAATAGAGAGGTCATCAAGAACACAGAAACACAAGGTAGAAAGAGCTTATCAGAAATACAGTTTTTTTTAGCAAGATGAGAGAAGTAGACATGGCCTTCCTAAAATCCAGGGCTCAAGACAGAAGGGCCTTGCAAAGGGGGTACTCTGAGTCTAATATAAGCAAAGGCAGTTAAATACTATGACACAATTTTCTCACCTGCAATGGATGTGAAGAAAGGAGCTGTTTGCTTGTCACCTATTATTTCCCTGCCATATCTGTACTTAGAATGTCATCAGAGATATTGGCCGTTCTAACAATAGTTCTTACTTTTACTTTTCTTTTTGCCCTAGACAAATTTCAAGCAGCTCAAGAGATGCTTTTCTTGAAAGGCCTTTATTTTTTATCCAACTAGACCTGTTTTAGTCCTGAGTTATTAGCCCTTAGAGGAAAGAAGACTTGCTGGAAGTTTCACATTGACACTTACTTGATATTCCCAAGCTTATCAAACAGTTTTGATCTTTATTATTTATTTTATAGGTGAGGAAATCAAGGTATGTGAAGTTTAAAAACCTGCCCAGTTCTCATGACTGATAACTGTTGCTAATACTTGGAGCTAGAACTACAAGCCAGGTGTGACTCCAGAGAGTGGGCTCGTAAATGCCACATCCTTATATCTCAGGCTATTAAAATAATATCTCTTGTTGATTAAATGGTTTTTATGAGCCAAGTACTGAGACAAACAGTTTGGATACTAGATTATACTAGAACTACTTCTGTAATTCTAGAATGCCCATGCTTTAGGAGGGCTTGTTACTATTTTCCAGTTCCTAACCTCTTGCCTGGCATGTGATAGACACTCAATCAAGATTTATTGTATGAATAAATGAACAACCCTCTGTAGTAGATATTATTGGCCCCATTTTATGATTAAAAAAATGAAGCTCAAAGAAATTAGCTTGCCTGAGGTTACATAGCTCTCACCTGAAGAGCCCAAAGCTCTACCACCCCATATCTGTCCCAGTGTCAGGGGATTACAGAATGTTGGCCAGTGAAAATAGAGCATTTTAGCAATAAGAGCATGGAACTAAGGTTGCTGCTGCTGCATAGGATGCTAGAAAATCCCACCCCTTCCCACTTTGTCTTTTCACATCCCCAAGAATCTGCCCCACTGCCCAAAGTTGTGGTCTGGTTATGTTTGGGGTACAACACATAAGAGGTAAGGAATTCTCCTGCCTTCACCTAAGGGTGGTTGAAAATAACATATCTTTAAGCAACTCTTGTCTGGATTATTCTGCATTCATTTTATTTCCAAATCTGTTAGATAATTGTCTTGACCTAGGGGCTTGGCTAATTTGAATCTCTTCAAAGAAGAGTAGCCACAAATTTAATGACTCATCCATCTAAGCAGAGTACATTCTCAAGGGTCTCCAAGATATCTCACTGCCCTGGGTAGTCACTGAAGTCCAAACCTGGGACATCTGCCTCCTGAGCATTGGTCTCACTGCCAAAAGTCTGTCTATATTTCTATCTGATTAATGCAGGCATGTATAATGCAAAAGCATGCTTAGATGCACTAGAGGAGGGCTAGGTTTTTCACTTACATTGTGGAAGAATAATAGAAGAGATATATGGGGAGTTGGGAACAATAAGACCACTTTTGCTAATGTCCAGTTCTACTTACGGCTGACATGGGCAGATTTCATAAATTCAACAAAGTATTACTAAGTTCCTCCATGCATAAGGGTATGTGGTAGGCCCTGGGAATACAGAAATGAAATTGGATGATTCCTATCTTCATTAGCTCATACTCTAGTAGGAAAAACATGTATATAAAAATTAATTACAACTGATCAGAAATACTAAGGCAGACTATATACTCTAAGTGATTTAGTTTAAGCCCCTTGTTCCACACCAAGAGACTTGGGTATAATCACCTTCCCCAGAATCCCTAGATGGAACCTGGAGCTGGTAACAAACATGTTTGATAGACGTCCTTTCAGTGTCTGTAGAAAATATGATGCTATCAGTGATGTCTGTGGGATGCCAGGAACTTCGCATGTAGTATCTCAACTCATACTTTGCAATACACATTTTACAGATGTGGAAACTAAGGCTCAGAGAGGTATTTTCCCAAGGTCTCTGAGCTTTGGCTTTGCATTCAGATTGGGAGTTCAATCTGAATTCTATCTAACTCCAAAACCCACGATTTTTCCAGTGTTTCAAATTACTTCCAAGACATAGTGTTGTTAGGAGCAAGAGTTGAGGATTCTAGTCTCAGATCTAATACTAGATAGTTGTATGTTCTTAGATAGCTGTCTCTTTATCTGTTGGGGGAGCCTTGAATACATGCCTTGCCTGCTTCATAGTTTATCAAAATGATAATGAGATAGTAGGAGAATACTTCGATCACATAAAATGCTCTGCTTGTGTGTGTGATGTTACCAATTATTGAATGACATTAAAAGGTTGCTTCTGCACCACGCTCTATAATCCCTGTGTTGCTTGTTCACTCGTAGCCAATGCTGAGAGGGGATAGAAAGCTAACTGGAAAGGATTTGGGATTGAAATTTAGCAAAAAGTCATAAACATGATCTGAATCATTTTCCATTTCCTGAAACCTCAAATTCTTCATCTCTAAAATTGGAACTTTTCTCTGATCTGTAGCTGTTAGGAAGCTTCTTGTAATTGAAAAACATGATATGTACTCAGTTGCTTAGATTAAGTTTTCTCTACCTTGAACATAGCCTAGAGTTGCCCACACACCACAGGGACCTGATGATGTAAAAAACTGTAAATTTAAGTGGACTAAGCTCTGTCACCTCATCAGTTGTAAGTGGTATTCAGCACTAAGTGAATTGCAGTTAATGAATTAAAGATGAACAAGACAGCAGGGAGCACGAATGCTGAAGACCTTTCATTTCAAATTTAAAGGTTTTATTTTATAACTATTTGAGATCTGCAGATCAGAATTTTTCCACTCTTCCCTTCATTGTTTATGTGAAACAGCATGTACTGTTGGAAATGATGGGGGCATTAGGAATGGACAGAGGAGCCAAGCTAAGCCCCCAAATTAGTAAACAAGAACCTGCTGTACCTTAGCCACTGAGTCCCCACCAGAAATAGGAGCTTTGAGGTAGATGAGCAAGGTGCATAAGGTTAAGATTTACCGTGGATCTGAGGATCAGATTCCTAATTGTGTACAAGTGTCAGGCAGTATCATAACCGATGTTTTAGCTGTGCGTTCAAGCAAGCTGCCGAATCTATAACTTTGGAAGTACTGGATCATCTTTATGGTGCCTCTTCTACCTGACTCTTGGAGGCCCCACTTTAACTCCTCACCAAGTGGTAATCTTAACTCTGCTTACATTCTTTCACTGATAGGGAACTCATAACTTACTTCATGAAGACACTATCCTGTCTCCACCTCCACCTGCCCAAATTTGTCTTTAGATAGCTTCTATATCTCTAAGAACAAGTATTTCACAAGAGAGTCCTTCAGAGACAGTTTTCCATCTATCAAGCTTCCCCCTTGCCCCTTGATTTGACTTACTACTTCAGTGCCTTGGTTTTCTGACCTGGAAAACAGCAAAACTGTGGTCAAGATTGAATGATACCATGAATATTGCAGTTGTTTTTAAGATATGCAAATCTTTGTATATGTAGGCAATGAGCTCATTGGGATGGAAACCTAATTATTCTTTTCTGGTTCTTTAAATATGTTCACATATTGATTTGATGATGATTACATGGGTATGATGATAGCTCAATGCAGCTTTATTGAAAAGGTTCCAATTAAAAATATTTCATCTCATTGTTCTTATAAAACATAGCAAGGTGCATATTCAATTATGCAAAGCACTCTCTCAGACTGCTTTCTTGAACCTTGAATTAATACAGAAGTCTTTATCAGGCCTCTTCATTTGTTTTGAACTGCAAAGAACAAAATCACTGAATTTATGAGGTCTGAGAAAGAATGGGAGATAGGGGAATGAAAAGTTAAGAGCTAGTGATACCAATGTCTGCTGGCCCTTCCCTCAAATGTAGACCACTTCTTTTGAAACCCCATCCCCCTGCTTGGTTACTCAGCATCATCCTTTTTGGACAGGATTTTCATGACTGGATTTCAGGTCTTCTTTTCTTATTATAATTTTAACCTCAGACTGCTAGTGGGGATGCTTTGGTTTGTCCTTCCCTCAGCCTTTGTCATCTTAGTATATCCATCAACACAGACTTGTATAAGGTCCAGGGGACTGGGCCTCTGCAAGGTACTATGGGGGTTCAATGCAAGGAGACTTCCTCCTTCCTCCTGCAGTGTGCATACAATAATGTGTCTTTCCACAGCTCACGGAACAGAGAAGTCAAGGTCTGAGTAACCAGAGGAGACTGCATCAAGGAGGCTGAACATGAGCTGGGCCTAGGAAGAAGAAAAAAACGGGCTTTCAGGTAAGGGGACAGAGAGTTTGAAAGCAGGAGTGGGAATTATTATATGTTTGGAAGTGGGTAGGGGCTCATTTTCCTTAAGTATAAAAGTAAATCATCATACCTAATGCATAAGACTCCTATGAGGATATGTGGTCTGGTAGAGAGGTGGCCAATGCCTGTTCAGGATGTTGTGTTTATTCCTCCAAAGCTCATGGAAGATATTGACAAGCCTTCACAGCATTATACCAGTGAGGCCAGCTGCAGACCCAAAATCCTTTTAAGTAAGGCTCTAGGCAACTAGTAAGAAGCAGAGTATGCAAACTGGCATACATTGGGTACTAAAGAAGTAAGTATGATTACCCCCAAGGCCCCACAGAATGTCTGGTATAACTGGGTAAAAACAGAACTTGTCTTTTTCATTCTTACTGAATACATATGCAAACGTTTGCATTTATAGTGTCAGAGGCTCACCATGTCCTCAGCACTTTCAGGTTTGAAATGAGACTTAGACCAAATCCTGCTACAAAGGTTATCTGCCATATGTTGTAATATCCCTTGTGAGCTATAAATAGCAGCACACTTGATCTTCAGGGGTTTGCAAATCTCTAGAACATGGTTATTTCCACCAAAGTCTCCATTTCACTACCCATGTTATGTTAATACCTCTCAGGGCCTGAATCAAGTTGGGAAGTAGAGTAAAGAGACAATGAAGTCTATCTTTCGGGTTGTCCCTTGACTCCATGGAATGCTCTGTTATATGTTCAACCTTAGAGTTATGACTCCTACCCACTGTCTGATCTCCCTGCCCTCCACCAAGCATCCAAATCCTTTCCTTCCTATAAAAGTACATTCATTCCTTCTAGGCCTTCCTTTCTTCTGGACTGAGAAAACAGAATGGTACAAATGGGTCATGTACTGCTGGAGCAGTGTTATCAGCCATGATTGTGGCTGGGGATTGAGTGGGATCATTCAGGTTTGTAGTGTGACTGCCAGCAGAGACAGTAGGCAAAGGCAAAGAGATAAGTGAAGGACAAGACTGAGAAACCTTGCCTAGGAGGAACATTACATATGCCCGTGGAGTTGGAAGGCTTGGGGAGTAAGTATGGCTCCGTAATAGAGTTATGCACATTAGAAAGGAAAACTGGGAAACTGTGACAGGGAATACTTCTAGAGTGTGTCCATGACATGTTTAACTTCATAAACAGGTAGGCCATGGGTCCAGCAGATCCAGAAAGAAGGACGAAGGCTAAAGGAAATTATGAGGTCTGAGTCATAGCAGTTGCCAGATTGATCCCAGCTGGGCTGCTCCATCTTGGGATTGCACATACAGGAATGGCTTTTCTACTTCATTCACAGGCACAGTCCAGCAGAGCAGTGCATATCGCCCAGCAGGAACCACAGAGCCTGAGAGTAAGATTGGCTCAATTCCTACACCCTCTCTTGCCCCAAAGTGAGCTACTTTTCACACATCTAAGCTAGGCTAGCACTAGCCTGCTGTTTAGAGGTGACCATGAGACCTCAGGCAGAGCCTTGAAAGGAAGCTATCCTTTTATCATGCACTTCAGGGGTCACTTTTGGAACTACAATATAATGATTTATAATAAATATATATTTGGTCATTCCGATGACCAAAATAAACTTCTGAGATGTATTTGGTCTTCATCCACAGTTCCTGAAAAATGCTGAGAGCTATAAAGCTGAAATGTGTGTCTTATTATGTTAATGAAGAGACCTGGACCCCACCCAGGGGCAGGGACTGGTTACCAGGGCACCAACCATGTGATTAGAGGGTGGGAGCTTTCAGCCCCCTGCCTCCAGCCTCTGGGAGGGGAGAGGGCAAAGGGCTGGAGGTTGAATCAGGCAATGGCCAATGATTTAGTCAATCATGACCATGCAATGAAGCCCACAAAAACCCAAGGGCATTTGCTTTTTTTTGCACTCTGCTTCTCTGTTGGAACTTACACCTGCCACGGAGCCAGGCCCCAAGCTCCATGAGGATAGAAGCTCATTTACTTGGGACCTTGCCCTATGTATCTCTCCATCTGTCTATTAAATTGTATCCTTTACAGTATCCTTGATTAAACTAGTAAGTGTAAGTGTTTTCCTGAGTTCTGACAGTTGCTCTAGCAAATTAATTGAACCTAAGGGGGAGGTCGTTGGAACCTCCAATCTAGCCGGTTGGTCAGAGCACCTTGCGACTGGCATCTGGAGTTGTGTGTGGAGGGCAGACTTGTCGGATGGAGCCCATGGAACCTGGGGAATCTGGTGCTATCTCTGGGCAGATGGTGTCAGAATTAAGTTGTTCTTGGATGCCCTGCTGGTGTTTGAGAATTGCTTGGTGTCGTCTGTAGGAAAACTTTCTACCTCCTACACCTACGTTGAAATTGGGTCCAGGAACCTGAACGGAGGAGCCAAATATTTTCTACTTTTAAAAATAGAGATAGTGCTGAAGCAGAAAGGGCCTTTTGAGAGTACTCACTTTAGAGTTTTTCAAAAGTGCTGTTGGGGGAACTATTACACCAGCATTATCTGCAGAGCTTGATTAAAATGCAGATTATCTGGCCTCATCTCAGACCCATTGAATCACACTGTCCAGGAATGAGGCTCAAGAATCTGTATGTTAAACTCCCAGGGGATTCTAATGTACTCTGAAATTTGAGAACATCTAACAAATGTTGGAGCTCCCTGTGGTCCATCACTCAGTATTCTCAAGATAAAATTTGAAGACCTCTTATTGTTAGGCAGAAAGAGAGACATGAGCAGGGTAAAGAGAGAATAAAGCCAGGAAAGCCCACTAAAAGGGACTCAAAGAATTTACCATATAAAACCAGAGAGCCAGAAAGGACTCACAGAGTTAATTAGTTAATTAGTCGAAGTTTCAAAGGCCTGGAGTGACTTGGAATGTCCAGATATTCCCCAGATGAAAAACAATTCCCCAGATAAGGAAAAACATCAGAGTGCATCCCACGTCTTCATCGTACCAATTAGATCAGACCTCCAAGGCCAAAGATTGTCAATCAAGGACTTCTCTGTCCTACCCATGAGGCACAGCAGGGAAATGGGACAAAGATCATGCTATTGTAAAATCTACTTAGCTTGTGAGAGAGGCCTGGTTTGTTCTTTATCTTAATCTATAGGCTGTTCATCTTCTTCTTCCCGCCTCTTAATCAATTAAGTAACTTTCTAACCAGGACAGGAGATAGACCTCTAAAGTGTAAATGAAAAATAATGCCAAGATCTGGACCAACACAGTCACCTAAAAAACCCTATTCTTAAGACAAAACTTCAAAGGAATTACCAATCACCTGTATACAACATGACTTATGCTGACCCCTACCCAAAAGGCCCTATAAAACCCCAAACTTTAAACCTTTAAGGGAGCCTCCTCTTTGAGGTTGCCCACACTCCCCTTTCTTTGCGTGTGTACCTTTTGCCTTAAATAAAGACTTCGTACTGCTCACCTTAATACATTTTGTCTCTGCACTCTTCCAGTGGTAAGCTTCTTTGTCACTTTGCTATTTCATTCTATTCTCCAGACCTAAGCACAGGTCTTCACTCTTTTTGTCCTACTTCAGACAAGTAGGAAGGGGCTACAAGATCTCTGCTTTGAGCTTGCAAGTTCCCATTGCCTGGGTAACCAGACAGGGCTGCAGCTCGTATGATCATGCTCCTTAGTAGCCTACCTGAAAATCTCCTTTCTTTGCCTTTGGGAAGTTCTCAGAACATAATCTCACTCCAGCCAGTGTTCTGTGGCTCCCTTAAATCCTGAGGTAGTAGGGACTTAGTTCCCATGCTGTGCAGATTCAAGCAGATGCTGGACACCAGGTGACCCTGGCTTTAGGAGTTGGCAAGGGATTTGCCCTATGCTGAGCAGGAGTTCAGTGAGCTTCCCTTTCTTCCCTCTGTTCATACTTGCTCTCTGCTGCCTGCAAGCCAGCTGCCAAATGAATTCTTTCCTTACCTTTCACTGAGACTTCCCTGCATCTCTGAATCAAATTCCTTCCCAACATTACCATTAAATCATTTGAGGTACCAATAAAAAATTTAGATTTCCGTGTCTCCTGCTAACCCTCCTGAATCAGAATTTCTTCTATATGATTAAGTTTGAGAAATCCAATCCCTTCATTGAACAGATACAAAAACTGACCCAGAGAGAGGAAATGATCTTCCCAGGATGTCAATCTAGATGGTAGCAGAGCTAGAGTCACACACAAGTCTCCAGAAAAGTCCAAACAGTATGCCCCTGTGGTCACCTCTTGAGGGTTATTTTTGTCTCCATTTAGCTTCCATGGCTACAGCATTCCTTAGAAGCTCTGGAGCTCAAGAGTAAGAATGCAACTCTTCTGGGTAGTTGCATGACCCTAGGTGAAAGCTTCTCCTCCAGCGGGTTATGCTGGATAGCTTGAAAATAAAGCATTGTAAGCTCTGCTTTAGGCAGCAGGGTGCTGCAGGCCCTTCTCCAAATGGGGTCTAAAGGGAGTCCAGAGTGGGGCAGTTTTATATCCAGGGACACTTAAGCATGGTTTTGAGTCAAACTGCACACAAACACCAAAATGAACTGCAAAAGTTTACTAAACCTTTTCTTGCTGTTGTTTTATAGTTGAAACACATACCGATTAAGTAGAAACTTACATGTTTGCAGTTTTGTGTCACACCTGATGATGAAAGCTACTAGTCTGATTCCCCTAACCTGTGCATTTTAGTTTCCAGCTCTGTCTGTGCTTCATCTCCCTCTACCTCCACCCCGGCTGTTGTCTGGAACTCCTCCAGACTATCATGCTCTGCCCCAGGATCTGCTGGGACAATCCAGTAAAAGGCCATTGACCTCTAAAAGGAGAGCAATTTCCAAAATAATAAGGCAAGGTATATTTTCTTTGAGGAATTAAGCAATTGCCATTGACAACAGTGCCATTGCATGATTTACATTAGGGTTAATGCTTATAATTTCAGCAAGTGTTTCACCAGTGCTACATAATTAGAAAAATTAAATGCTCTGCCACCTTGAATGCATAATTCTGTTAAGAAAAAAACCTAGAGACCTCTACAGATATTCTGGAATTTCTGAGGGTGGAGGGAAAGGGCAGAAGGCAGAGTCAGAGAAAGAAAAGTTATAATCATACCCTTCCAACCAAAAGAAGAATATGGTAGAGGTCCACTATCCCTTATCTTTCATTCTGAAATCAAAAAGCTCTATAAAATGAAAGCTATTTTTTTTCTTTAATTTGGAGCCAACATTCATGTGGCAATAACACCTGACCTGAACTGGCAAGAATTTAGTCTTTATCTCTTGTAGTATGAATATTCAGACATTTTTATGCAGAAATGTTAATGGCTTAATTATGGGATGTTTTCCCAGACACCACTGGGAGTGTTATGTAATAAACAGTACTTACTCTGTGTTGCCTTTCTAAAATCTGAAAAAATTCAAATTCTGAAACACAGATAACAGACTGTGGACCTAGAATAATGATAGCTAACATTTATGGAGCACTTGCCATCTGCATGAAGCTGTGCTAATTTCTTTTCGTATCATTTAATCCTCATGACACTGTGAGGCAGGTATTAAAATCATTCCCATTTTAAGGTTTAGAAACTGATTCTCAAGAGAGGTTAAGTAACTTGCCCAGAGTCACACAAATTTTGGTCAAACCAGGGTTTGGACCCAGGTCAGTCCAGTTCTAGAACATGCACGCTGAACTCTTGCACTTTACTGCCTGAGAGAAAAAAACAGTTGTGAAGGACAGTGTGGGTTCTTTGTGGGCTTTATGTGGAAGTAGAATAGGCTACCATCTATTCAGTGTCATTTGAGGGCCAACCTCTTACTACCAAATGTGTCCCCAACCCATCCTTACTTCTCTGTGATGCTGTAACATGGCTTGATTTATTTTTCAAGGTTCATCTGGATGACTTTTCTCACAGGGACTACTAGCATCAGAAGTCCACTGGGCAGCTTGTTAAAGTGCAGATTCTGGGGATCCACCCCAGACCGACTGAATCAGGATTGCTAGGGATTGGGGCCAAGTTGATTTTTATGCACATTAAAGATTGAGGAAAAACTGAATGCCCTGAGAAAGGCCAATCATTAACTGTCATTAATTAATGTCTTAGCTGTCAGTTGACACCTAGATAGGCTGGCAGGAATAAATTCATGGATGGGCGCCTGGAAATGGAAGAGTTCTGAAAAGTGGACCAGAAGGGTGAGATATGGACAGGAAGAAAGAATGGTGACTATGACAGTATCCCCCTACTTTGGCCATATGACATTGTTCAGCTGCATTGGAGCAATCTTAGAAACAACTATTTCATTTCATTTTGCCCCACAGAGCACCTATCTATTATCTCATTAATGCAATAAGCCTCTAAAGTAGACACGATAGTTATCCTCATTAGATAAAGGAGAAAACTGAGACCTAAATGAGTCATTCAAAGTCATCTAACTGATTAATTCTAGTGGTTGGATAAGTTTCTGGCCTTTGATCTTATACAATTTCAGTCTTCTAATAATTTCTTCCATAGGCCTAGAGAGGAGGAACATTAAATAAAACCTAGGGAATCAAGTCTTACTTTCAATGACTACCATTTTTTTGCCCACCAGTGGCCAATTTAAATACATTTAAATGGTGTGCTACACAAGGAAAGGGCAATGAGAGGAATTACACTGATATGCCATAGGTTAAGGGTTTGTTTTCAACTTTTACTAGTTGCTTTCTTCTTGTTATCAGTGCAGGGATGACTACTGAATATTTTGATCATTATACTTTTCATACAATTCTGTTCTTGTTTGCTAGGCTCTCAACCTCATCTCTTCATTTTGCCTATTATATCTTAATCATTTCCATGGCAACAAAATGTGACCTCAGACAGGGACTAAGAAGCTAGAAAAAAAATGGATTAACTATGACCAGAGCAATCATATCCCCACAGCAATGCAGGCTAGGATTGGGGCATCGAAGGTCAAGTCCAATAGTCATTATTCCAAACCAGGCTAAATGCTCTCTAGAGAAGCACTTTTCAAACTTCAGTGCACATTCAAACCACATTTAACGAGGGAATCTTGTTATATATCAATTCAGTACGTCTGGGGTAGGACCTGAGAGTCTGCAATTCTAACAGGCTCCCTGGTGATGTCTATGCTGCTGGTTCCCAGACCAGATTTTGAGTAAAAAGGGCCAGGAACCATCATCATGCCCAAGCAGTATATGCAGATGAGCATATTTGCAGTCCTAGAGGAAGTGCATTTTTTGGACAGCAGTCCTGATGAGCATGCCAGCTCTAATATTAACTAGTTGTGTGGCCTTGGGAAAACATCTTTACTTCTCTGGTCTCTATTTTCCCATTTGTGAAATTATGAATTTGGCCTGGATGATCTCTAATATTACTGTGGATTATAAAATCCCTTGATTGTTGGATGAAAAAAAGAAGACCCTTGAAAACCAAAAGCTTAGTTTGAGGGCAAATTGCTCCTATATTACAAGTAAGGGGGGTGGGGAGAGAAATATGCTGTGACTTTTGTATTTATCTTCTTAATTCCAATTATTCTATGTGTCCTAAGGTGATTTATTTCTTCTGAATGTGAAGAACATTGGTATTCTCCGTGAAGAAGAGGCAACACTGAAGAGTGGACAACAGTTTGGGCCACTCTCCAACTCAGTTTTCAGCATCCCCTTGTGACTTCTTCATAGCTAACAGCTCTGGCTACTTGCTCATGACACTGTCTCTCTAATCACAGAGCAAACCCACTGTCTGCCCTTGGTCTCCAGTACTGGGTCTCAATTCTACTTAGCCCCACTTGATTCTAGAAGATATAATGGAGAAGTACACAGAATCCCTACCTACACTGCAGGTAGAGCATTCCTCCCTTCAGGCAGAGGATCTGATTCTACCACCACAAAAGCAGCATTTGACTAAGGAGGACACTGCTCTGAGGGGCCAAGTCATGCCTGCCCTGAACACCCCGATGATGTCTGTACCCTTCTCGTTTGAGCATCTCTCCCAGTTTCGTGGTGACCCCGACAGTCTCTCAGTGTTTCTTGCTCAGGTGACTACCAATTTGACAGCTCTCAAGACCCTCAGTCCTGCATATGATGCCCAAATTAAGTTCTTCTTTGATTACCTGTCTCAGCAGATGGAAAGTAATGGGGTCATGTCTGGGCCTGACCAGAGTACTCTGCTGCAACAATATGAGGACTTTGTTCTTAAGTTCCAGCAGTCATTGTGTGAGCCCACAAAACAAGAGATGAGCCCTCTAGACAAAGGGGACAACTCTCAGCAGGATGCTACTACTTTTCACTTCCTTGCTCAAAATCTGAGCTGTAATGAAAACAGTCTGAGTGATCACCTCCAAGAGGGACTGCCTGACCCCATCCAGCATGAAATGAGTGGCACAGATATGATGGACAACCTTCCAGACCTGATCACTCAGTGTATGCAATTGGACAAGAAACAAAATGACTGGCCAGAGCTCCTACAGTCAGAGGCCCATTTCCCAGTGTTGGCTTCTCAGATCCACCAGCAAGCCCTCTCCAGCCCTGCAGGTCTATCATCCAAGGAAGAGTCTGTACAGCTGCGAGGAAGCCAGCCACCTCTTACCTCAGCCAAACGAGCCCGCCAGCAAGAAACTCAGTTGTGCTCCTACTGTAGCCAGGCTGGTCACTTCACAAGAGATTGCCTTGCCAAACGTTCCCGAACCCCAGCAAGGGTAAATAACTCAGCTCACCAGCAAGAGGAGCCCAGGCAGTTCACTTTGTAAAGTTACATCCCTCTCACCTCTAGCCTTACTGATTTATATCCTGCACTTTATAGACAGTCATGAACTCATGTACTTCTGGGAATTTACACAACCAGATCTTGTTCATTTGGTGACGCATCACTAAAACTAATCCAACAATGATGAAAACAATTAACAGGCACTTTCCATAGTTCGGACCAATTTGCCAAGAGCACCAAAGACCTGCAGGCAAAACTCTGCCTTGTCTTAGCCAGTACAAACAACTCAGTGCATTAGGAACCCATCCCCACTAATGATGGAGATCTGCATTGAATTTGTTCACCCAAGTGTTCTGTGCCTACGACTCAGCCAAGCCTTTTATCCCCACCCTACCCTCTGTATCCTAGTTCCCTTTTGGTTTAGGACCATTAGCTGAAGTCCTAACTGCATTGCCATAGCCTACCAATATTTTCCTACTAGAGGCTGAATCCTGCTCCACCTATTGAGTAGAGTCCAGCTTCAACACAAAGCATCCTGCATGGAAACACAGCTCTGCCACCCTTCATACAGCTATGTATTTTGTGCCATTTGAAGACTTCTGTCTGCCCCACAAACTGGCCATCTTGGCTATTGACAAACAAGATGGTATGGCCCTTTGAACACTCTGCTTGGAACTATTGGTCCATTTCTTTGAGGTCTGGCCCTTTGGGCTGGTGTGTATTTGCAATGTTGCAATACTTTGACAAGTATTTAGTAAGACTTGGGAGAGGAGTCCCATCCTAGTTATTATGTCTGCAACATGTCCTGGCTGCATTCAACAGGAAACCTGGCTAAGTAAATATCCACTGAAGACTGAGAGTCAAGCCCTGCAGTAGTTTCTGATTCTGGAGGCATCAGTGTGATCTGAGGATCACTGCCCAATGATTTGAGTTCTATTCTTAGGTACTACCTCGGGGAACCCTCATCTAGCTGAGGATCTTGGAGAGCAATTAATGGCAGACAACTTTCTGAACCATCCTATCTGAAAAATCCTGGGATGTATACATCAACACCATCTGTAGATAGAAGTCAAGAACTGGGGGTTTGATTGCTTGTGTTGTGCTCTTGGCATGTGACAGCTTTGTATATGAGTTCCTAATGCTTCTGAACAAAAGTAATGCCATGCTGGAAATACACAACTCCCTAAAATGTGAAGGATATCAAATGATGATCAGTGTTGGATATTAATTACCAGTCCTCTGTTCTCTACTCCTTGGTGCTGATGTATGTCGCTATAATGGATCTTCTGAAGAAATACCAGATTCCATACTCCCTAGAAGCCATCAAGGCCTCTCAGAACATGCCATGCCATTGTACTTTGGCCTTTTTGCCCATCAGTGCCTCACTAACCACTCTTCCAATCCTTGTTGGCGTTCACAAGAGGTCTCCTTTATCAATAGCTTGCTATGCATCCACCTAACTCCATATGCTCTCACAACAACAAAGCTAAATGCATATATTCCAGTAGTGCCAAGAAATGTCCACTAGGATACTGGGATGTATGAGATCTTCTATAAAGTAGATCATTTGTACTTTCAGTGACTCTGGGATTACCTGGACTTATCCTGATCTAGCACTAAAATTTCCGTAATAAAGGACTAACCTAATGGTCTCCAGTTTCTTTCCTTACTGACCCCAATACAGTCCTGGATGCTGATAGGAGCACTTAGTTGGCTTCATCACCAGTCTTTCCTTATCTTAGGGCCACTGTTTATCATTCTGTGCTCTCTCACAAAAATGTGTCAATTTATTTCCTGTTGGGACCTTTCCTCTGCAGCAACATTACCTTCTTCCCCAGGACATCTTCATATTTTATAACCTGTTAAAACAAATAATTGATTCTGGACTATGAACTTCAGTTCAGCTTTCATTTCTAGTAGCACCTTTTGAGGAATTCCCAATCAAGGCCCTCTTGTGCTCTATGTGAAAAAATCCAAAAGCCAAACAGCATATGGATAGGATGTTGGGATAGTGCTTAACTGTCTACTAGCTAGCAAATATTTCGCTTGCCACTTCAAAATTTTGTTATAATGCCACCATCGACTTCAGCTAGAATGAACTCATTATTTAGCATAGAATTCCACCAGTGTGTCCTCAGAACTTACACTGAAGTGAATTTCTCTGAGAATGAAACTGATTAAAACCTACAGAGAACAGCTGATCTGTAACCTACTCAAAGATATAGTCAGCAACTGCAAAGTCTTGAGCAATCCTCAGGTCCAATCAAAGTTGTAGTTTATGAAGGCAGATCTGGTATATGATTAATGCCACCAAGCAAGATAAAATCTAATCATTTTATGGTAAGTATGAAGAAGGAACTGTCAACAAGAGAATAGTCTGCAAAGTCTAGAAAAAGGGGCAGTTAAAGACCCATAAGGCACTGGTAATCTCCCTAGACTCAGAGAGGGAATGTTGTCCTGCAGATAATTTGGCAGATCCACCTACAGTGGGGTAAAGGCTGCAGGCCATCCCAATTTGTGTCATTAGCTATTAAGATCACCACCAAATTCCCCTTGCTCTGACTCCGTGCTCTAAGAAGTAATCTGATTGTAATTACTTTCCCACATAAACTTAGTTATGAGAAGAAAATTTGCTAACCAGCTGAGAGGAGTGTTCTAGCCTACTGGGCAGTTAATTCCCATTATAAATGAATAAATTGATGTTTGGCTTATACATCCATTTTTGTGAGTTTTAATAACAATCAATCCTCCAGATCTTAATCACCTCTGAGCACACTGGAAAAAAAGTAAGGTTCTCATATGTGGAGGCAGCACCACAGAGTGAACCATAGTGAGTCCACTGAAGATCAGCCTCCCTGGAAGGCTTGCATCAACAGTCAGCCAGCCTCCCTCTTTATCTCTCCCACTTGTCTACAACTATACTAAAATTCCCCAAAATCTATGTTTTCCACTTCCTGCACCCATCTCCACTCACACCCAGAACCATGGCAATTGCCAAAGTAACTCCATCTTACAATGCTATTTATTTTGGTCCAACCATCAGTATCTACTGCCATGGATGAAGATAAAACACATGACTGTAGACACAAACTCCTAGCAAACACCTTCTAAGAGGGAGAAGTGTATGATTGTCATAACTCTTATTCTGCCTGGCTGGCAACACAGAGGACCCATGCTGTCTCTGCCCTCACCTCTGTCTGTGATGGTAAAATAAATTTCACCCTTTTCTGGACTCTGAAATATTTTTCCACCTAGCACCATCTTTATATGGCCACAGTAACCATCTCAAAAAAATAGAGTATTTAGGATATATCAGCATCTTGGTCAAATCTAACACCTCATGCCCTTTGGAGATTTCTGGGAGCTTGTGTCACAACTCTAAAGCCTTCTACATTGGTGGCATGTTTCATTGTCTCCCTGTGAAGCTTCAGGCCCCACTTGGCCAAGAGAATGGAAAAACCTTCAAGGGAATATAGTGTCGTGAATGTCACCGTCATGCAAGAGTCACTGCCTACATTCGTGCACTAAATTACTGGTATTACTTCCTGGTGTTGGCTTTGAATCTTGGGTCTACTTGAACGTACTTTCTGCTCATTGATTTCTGGTACATATACTACATGGTACTGGTTCTTTTATCTGTTCAACTCAGTAATAAGCCAGCCGTGACTGTATTTCACAAACCCCATTTACTTCATAGCTACCCAGTGGAGAACCATGTAGAATTTCAGTTTTCCCTATACACAAAAGACTTGTCCCTTTGAGCATAAAATCATTACAGATGTACCCAGAATTCCAAGTGTAGACACAAAATTAATTTGAATATGATAACATTTTCTTTTTTATTACTAAGACTTTGCAAAATGATGTCCAGTGATTTGGGGGCATTTTTGGGTTTCCTCAGTATCTTGACAGAAGAGTTATTGTGAACCTTTCCCTGAAAGCTGCAATTCTCTTTCTTGAGTTGTAATTGATGCACAAATCCCACTACCCTAAAAATACAGTTGGAATGTTTTAATAAATGGGTGTCCTTAGCAATGAAGCTCATCTTTCCTCCCCATCACAAGATGTTCCTATAGTTTTTCCCTATTGGCATTCTTAATAATAGAAGTAAGAGTTACCATTTATTGACCACTTACTACATGTCAGGCCTTGTGCTCTTTGATTTGTGTGAATTTTTTCTTTTAATCATCACAACCCTCTTAGATATCTGTTATCATCATCCTTGTTATGCAGATGAGGAAACTGAGGCTTATAGTAGGTAAGGAAATTATTCACAGACACAGTATATTAAGAGACAGGACTCAAATCCAGATAGATCTAACAACAAAGCCCATACTCCTACATAGTATATTGCTATCCATCTATAACAGGAGTCAACCACCTACCACCTGTGAGCCAAATCTGCCCTAGTGCCTGTTTTTTAAAAATAAAATTTCATTGGAACACAGCCACGCCCATTCATTTACATTTTGTCTATGGGTGCTTTCATGCTAGGACATGTATGGCCCAAAAAGCCAAAAATATTCACTATCTAGTCCTTTACAGAAAAGTCTCCCATCTCCTGATCTACAACATATTGAAGTATTAGACTAAAATCAGATTTACTTTTAAATTATGTGATATAAACCTTGAATTCCACTCTCCAACTAGAACTGCATAAAAAGAAAAAAAATGAAATAGGAAAGTGTTAAATCAGTCCAGTCCTTGGGGCATCTTATTGCTTTTATTTGTCCTCTCAAATAGCCCACTTATCACCATTCTTTTTTTCTTGCCTTTTAAGTAGTCCCCATATATATATGATAAAACAATGGGATTTTGTAGAGGCTTGCATAGAATGCTTTGGGTAGTCTAAATAAGTTTCACTGGTACTTTCTACATGGAACACGCATACTTTCTATATCAAACAACTTTACTAGATTGTCCAGGTATGGTTGTGAGAGATATTTGCTATATGCCTCCCCAGCAAGCATTTTACTTTTGGCAATAGACCCTAATCTTCATATAGAGATTCAACTTCTTTCCCATGTCAGTCCATCTTCCTGGGTTGAATTCCTTCTTCAGCTCTGAGACCCAGGCCTAAGTTAACGATCACATGGCATTTGCCTGGCTCTTGTAACTATTCCAAGTGTGGGTTTGTGTCTTAAACTTATCCAAGAGCGAATTTTATGGCTTTTCTTGGAAATGATAGACAAGGATTCTCATTTTTTTTCTACTGGAATGGAATGTGGAATGATGTAGCCCTGATTATGCTGATAGCCATCTTTTGGCTAAGTGAAGAGAACCTGTTTAAGGATGGAAACATCCTGAGGAAGCAGAACTGAGGGATAAGGAGAAACGAAATCTGATGATGGCTTTTGAATTACTGAACCCAGCTATGCTTGAAGGTACTTAGCCATTAAGCTAATAAAATCCTTTTACAGGGGCACATTGGGTAGAGTTTTCTGTCTTTTGCAACCCAGAGTCCTGCTAAAATAATTTTCTGTACTGAAACTATACTGTTTTTAACTGTATATACTATATCAACTTGAGTAGCCAAGGCCTAATAACAACAACAAAAATTTTCTTACACTGCAGTGGTGGTATTGGGCAAAGAACAGTTTTATGAACTCTGCTCCACTTTTACCTCTAACACAGAAATTCCCAGCTTCTCTGCCAGGAGGAGCTTCGTAGAGTCTACTGGATTCAAGAGTTTTGTTTGACCTACTGGGCAGATACAGACTGACCTTGTGTGGACCAATCATTTTTCAAAAAGATTATAAGCTTCTGCTCAAAAACCCTGTAATTACTTTGTAAACAAATGTGAGATGGCTGCTTAGGGTTTTGGGGCCAGGTTGCAGCCCAGCACCTTTCCCATCATCAACAACTGTGCCATTGCCAGGTACTATTTTTTAACCTATGGTTTAAAAAGCTATAGCAAGAGAGCAACGTGTAGTGTTTAAGAATGGGAACTCTGGAGCCAGACTCCAGGGTCCAAATGCTAGTTCTACCTCTCACTAACCGGATGGCCTTTTGCAGTTTCCCTAACCCTTGTGACTTTGTTTCCTAGTATATGTAAGTTTATTATGAAAACAAATGAATGTTTTTAAAAAACTTAAAATAGTGCCTGGCATATAATAAGCAGTATGGAAATGTTCGTTAAATATGAAAAAGTGAATAAATGGCAGAAAAAGTACTACAGATATTTGAAAGATACATGCACAGGGTCTGTCAAAATATACATGTTCCTAAAGGGAAGGGGGTTGGGAGGGTGTGTGATGAGGAGGGAGAAGGGGATTCATGGGCATTACGATTAGCACACATAATGTAGGGGGGTCACGGGGAAGGCAGTATAGCCCAGAGAAGACAAGAAGTGACTCTTACGCACCTTACTATGCTGATGGACGGTGACTGAAATAGGGTGTGTGGGGGGGGACTTGATAATATGGGTGAATGTTGTAGCTACAATGTTGCTCATGTGAGACCTTCATAAGATTGTATATCAATGATACCTTAATTTAAAAAATACATATACATGGTGGAAAAAACAGCACAAATACCTTTGGATGAAGAAAGGATATTTAATTTGATATACAGAATAGGCTATTCTTGTCAAATTCACAATCCTATATCATGTATTCTTCTTTTTACCATTGAGATCATTGCAGAA